AGATATATATATATATATATATATATATATATATATCTATGAAAAGATATTTGTATAAAAAAAAGATAATAAATTTATTTTGCATCTCATATTAAGGACTAGTGTTATGTGTAAATATGAAATATTAGGTGTGAGATATGTAGATACATATCAATTGTGTGCAAGCTATGTCAATATCCCCTACTTTAAGTAGAATAAAACACCAAAAATATAATATTTAAAAAAAAATTGTGAGATACATAAATACATAACAATTTTGTGCTAGGTATGCCAATGTCCCTGGCTTTATTTAGAATAACAAACCAATAACATAATATTAAAAAAAAACTATGTTTTACTATTGTGCTGGATAGAAGTTATCCGGTTTCTGCTCATAAATAGTTTCATAAATGCAAGGAAATAAATACTAATTAGAACCCACTAATTAAATAATTAACTAATGAAAATATTATCATGTCAAGGCGATTAGAAAGCAAAATTCATTAATAATGACAGATTAATATTTTGGTGAAGAATAATTAAGGCTCTCTAAGTACTAATTACTTGACTAACCGTCGCAGGATCATTCTGGATTAGTTTATCCGGCTTTGAAATACTGACCAAGGGGATGGGGTTAACTTCCCATGGATTCTCGCGAGTCTTCATGTTTGTTTCATCCCAAATAATCTGAAAGTGATGAAAGAAAAAACTTTTAGGCTCGTGTCTATAATTTTTAATTAATTTTCACTTTTTATTACTTGCATAATAAATAATTTGTCGAAGTCCATATCCAAAATGTTGAGGCTGATCGTTATTTTTATAATGTAGGAAAATAGTATTTGTACGTTCAGAATTAAAAAAAAATAAACTTAATGAATTATAATTGATGCATGTCAGAAGATTTGTGGTAATAGAGTAATAAATTAGTGTTTCGGTGCTGGATGAAGATCCGTCACACAAATAAAAAGAGAAATAAGCAAAATGAGACACCTCGATTTTTTACGTGGAAAAACTTGGAGTGAGAGAAAATTACGGGGCCTAACCCGGTTGAAATATTTTTTTATGTAATTGTAAGTACATAGATCCACTTCTCTTGAATTAGAGAAGATTGAGCTATAATGTTGATGTTAAATGGCAATTCAACAATTATAGTTGAACGGGCCAAAAAAAACGTAGTCGATTGCTATGAAATCAGTAGCCAGCAATGAAATTGTAGATGATAGTAGTAGCATCAACTTGTTGTAGATGTCGTAGTTGAAAGATATGGTGTTAGTTAGCTATGTAGGTAATAGATGGTTGCTTTAAAAGCCTCGGTTGGCCACATAAGCCGTAGTAGAGAGTTGCAGAAGCTATGAACCATGTAGGTCCAAAAATGGAGAGTTGCTATAAAATCTATATGAGTGCTAGTAGTGGAGTTGTGTGAGTTGTGGTCGGAATTGGGAGTTGCATGAGCTGTGGACCACATAGATCATAGTTGGTTGTGAATGTCATTGTGGTGAACTGTGACAACGTCTGTAGCTCACAGAAGCTATATTTGGGAACTGCATGAGTTGTGAACCACATTAACCATAATAGGTCACGTAGTTCATAGTTGTAAGCTACAATAATGTTTGTAGACCACAGATGTCAGGGTTGAGAGTTACATGAGTTGTGGACGACGTAGATCGTAGTTAGTCACATAAGTCATCGCGGGGAGATGTAATAACATCCATAGGCCGCAGAGGTTGGAGTTGAGAGCTGTGTGAGGAGATAACTATAGTAGTCTAGGGAATGCCATTATACAATGATTGCAGAGGCTATAAACAGATATTGTGTGGAGTTACATTGTATCGAAGGTGCGTTGTTGAACCGCCTTCGAGGTACATCGTTACACTATATGAGAGGTGTGTCATTGCACTATATTTGGGATGTATTATTATATTGTCTTCTGGGTATGTTTCTTATAAGATATTTTGTTACTCTGTACAGTGATTCATTACTCTGTGTTGTACGTCGTGATTCAATAAGGATCTTTTTAAAATGAGCAAGGGGTGGCAGATGGTTTTCTACGACAGTCGGTGAGCAATAGTCAACAGTGGTCAACATCTACGAGAGCAGGAAGAGTTTGTCGGGTCTTTAGTGCATGACATCACAAAAATTCAGTTCCTTCTTTAAATCATGCTCTACCTTTAGTTCTTCCTCTAAGTCTTTTCCCACTTTCATGAAGGGGGTAAAACTTTATTTATAGAGTCTCGGAGAGGCCTCCCTGCAAATAAGAACTCAATCAACTCCATCAGATGACTCAGTGAGATTCCCATGATTATACAACATTTTGTGGATATTTAAGTGTTATAACGATGTTAGAATTGAGTGAACTTGTACTTGTTGGTTTTTTCTATTCGAGACGCTTGATTTGACTGTAAGCATTTTAGATTTGGAATTCGTTTGACCTTCTAATTACTAGAAACTTTCAAAAATGTCTTAAAAGCTCTATTTGACTCAGATTGGACCAATTTCACTGTCATTATCTCGTCTCGTTGAGTTGATCAATTTGATTATATGTTTGCTAAAATTAGAGTTCTAGATAATTTTTAATTGAAGTTTGAATGTTCCTTAAAAATTATTCTAAGATCTATTTTGTTCTCCTTGAGATTTATGCTGAATAATAATTTTTATTGATGATGTATAAATCATAAAAGAAAGTTATAATTTTAATATTCCCTTCATCAAGATTTAGATGATTAGATATTATGAATTAAAGTACTCAGATGTTAATATTATTATGTATATCACAAATGTGTTAGTGTTGACCTTGTGGAGATCTCAACACTAACGATCCATAAAGAAAAAGCACAGTAAATGAGGGTCCATTGATAGAAGATCATGTGACCTACTTGCTAACTTAATGAAGCTCTCCGAGCTGAGCCAGCCAAAATACGAGATGAGCTAAAGATAACTAGAGGATAAAATTATGAACCACAGCCAGAATGAGGTAAAAAGAATATCTAAGCCAACTACCATAGGATAGCCAATCCAATTGAAGATTTGATTCCCTAAGATCTCCAGTCATTCCAGGGATGTCCACAAGCTCCTCATCAAGGATCGAGATTAAGGCCATATCAACTGACCGACACGTATCAACCAAACTTAACCGACCGATTTAATCTTAATCAACTTATCTAATTTTACTGACCTGAATCTGACTAAGGTCAGTCAACCAAGTAAGAAAGCAATTGAACAACAAATAGTCGGGCCCACATTTGATTGAAACTTTCCCATACTTCTCTATGTTGATGGCTCGACTTTCTTCAGCATGAGGTCTCCGATAATGAAAGTATTCTCTCAAACCTACTTATTGTAATAAGAGTCGTCCATCTATTCATTTCTTCATGTTTGAGAACTGAGTTAGCTCATTTCTCTTCCATAAGGTGAGTGTAAGCATCTCCCCTTCATCATTTACTTTCTACCACTTGGCTAAGTCGTCTTCATTGAATGTTGAAGCTACCATCACTTTTTTACTGTGATGATTTTATTCAACTGGTAGCATCACCTCTATCCTGTGTGACAACATGAATGAGGTTTTTCTGGTCACCGTGGAAGGTGTCATTCAGACCACCCAATAAACAGATAGTAGGATCTCGACCCAGTTTCCCGAGCACCTTTAAACTTTTTCCTTAATATGTTTAGGATGACCTTGTTTGCTACCCAGGCCTACCTATTTGTTTAAGGATGACGGACAGATGCAAATTTCAAGTTGATCCCATGGTTTTTGATAAAAATCTTCCGCTATCGTTGGAACTTCGGTAGGATTCTTGAAGGTGGTGCTAGAGCTGGATCCACCCAGACCTCTCAAAGTTAAGTCATTTTCACCAAAAGGCAACATAAAGAAAAGTCCTTCATAAAAAAATTAAAATCTAGCAAATAAAACTAAGGCTCATCAAACCCAAAAGCAAAGCCAACTCAGACATCGTAATTGACACAATACCCTCACTGTGCAACAGGAAGCACTGGAGGCCCTCGTGCAACCTATTTGATTGGTGGGTTATGTGTTGCAGTAGAAGACTGGGTTGCCAGTTCGATGGTCTGGTCAGTTGGCTGAATGTTCATATGGTTATGTTAAGGTACAAATCAAATGACCTCATCTGATCTGGTAGTAAGAGTGCAACCATTGTTCTCTTCTTAACGATGACTTTCATTTTCTTTTCACCTGTCATGCAGCCCTGACCTTTCAGTTTCCTAAAGGAAAAAAAACAGATTAGATCTTTAATAGGGATATCACTCGAGGGGTTTGATACATTCTCCATCACAACAACAAGAAGTAGATCGTTCAAAGGAGAGGAGTCACGAAGCAAATAAGGAGTGAGGAGTCCCATCATGCCTTAATTACAAGAATCAAAGGTGCAAAAATCAAGGAGTTCAATTATTAAGACATTAGTTAAATAATAAATGAAACATACTTTTTAATTTAACTCTCCTATTTTTATCTGTCAATTTCAGAAAGTAAGAGAATTAACAAACAAAAAAATGTACATCGCATGGTGCTAATCTTGAGGAGATCTAACGACCTAGAAAGAAAGAGCACGACGAAGGAAGGCCCGCTGATAGAAGATCATGAAGCCTACTTGTTTGACAGAATGAAGTTGTTTGAGCCATGTTAGCAAAGCCAAAGTCGACCGAACCACGAGACGGACCTAAGATAACTAGATGATACTAGAATGAACCACTCAGCCAAAAATGAGAGAAAAGGGTATTCAAGCCATCCACCACAGGAGAGCCAATCCAAGGGAAGATTCAGTTCCCTAGCATCTCCAACCATTCTATGGATGCCCAGAGAATCCTCACCAGTGGTCAACGATCGACAGTCAGGCCATATCAACTGGTTGATTTGTATCGATCGAACTAAACCGACCTAACTGATTTGAGTCAACCGAGCTAATCATATCGAACCGAAGCTGACAAAGATCAACATGCCAAGTCAGAAAATTGTTGAATGACAGGCTTATCCATGTATACCAAAAATACCCCAGTACGGAACACTTTAAAGCAGTGACAAAAATAAAATATCTTCATTATGTACTCTCTCCTCTATAAATTAAGAAATCATTTTATGAAAAAGATATGATTGATCACCATAGATTACTGCTCACACACACACACTTTCTATCTCTCTCTCCATCTCTCCTTATTTACAGTATAATCCTTGGTTGTGATCCATGAACAAAACAAGATTCAACATATTAAAATAACTCATTTATATTTTAGGCGTAAACTATTATTTTAAAATTTTGTTATTATTTGAGGATAATGAAAAAAGTGGTGATTAAGTAAAATATTTTAAATAATTTTCGGACATAAATCATATAATTTTTCATTTTAAGAAGAATATAGGTTAAGCCTGAAAGGGCAAAAAAAGTCGAGTCGAGTTGGACTGGAGCCATGCCAAGCTTGAGCTCGGGGCAAACTCCGAACTCATTAAAGAGCCGAGCTCAAGCCTCCTTGTGAGCCGGCTCTGATCATTTGCACCCCTCGCTGAGCGTTTTTTGCTTCACGGATTCACATACATGCCACAAAATTCTTATGTATTTACATATCTAACATTTAAATTTTCATAGTTATAGGGATAACCTCAAATAATTAATATCATATCAAAAAAAATACAATATTACTAATGTTTAAAGTGAAATACATAAATATTATAAATATAATAATCACTGTAGATGTAGAGCTGTAAATTAAAATGAATTATGTGGTATATATGTAAAATTTTTTCAGTACTATTATTTTGGAACTCATCGCCATCAACGTAAATAAATAAATATAGAGAGAGAGAGGGGTTTGGGATACCTCAAGCATACGCCATGGAGTATCAGCAGAATCCAGGGAGAGAGAGTCGAGAGTACCAAATAGCCAAAAAATCAAGCCATTAGCCGTCTCCCACTTCTTGCATACTCGCATTCCTGGCGTCCACTGAACCTTCAACGCCTCATCCACCACCTCCTTCTCCACCACATAAACTGGAAGCTTGGTGTCAGGGTAATATCTCGCTTCCACCACCCCTTCCCCGTCTTCCTCCGCCCACCGCAATGCTCTGAACACCCTCTCTGTCTCCTCTCTCTTCCTTCTTGTCCTGCAACTCCAGCACATATATTTTTGATTCAGAACAGTTTCAATGTTCAATTGATGGGATGCATTTTGATATTGTTTAATTATGATTTGTGCGATGATAGATATTTTAAAAATTAAATCTTTAAGCTTAGCGTTGTTTTATTTTAATGTATTATTTGTTGGACCAATTCTTAAAGGATAATAGAGTGGCGTTGAATGCTTTTTGAGAGACATTTTATGTATGAAGATTTGGGCTATAATATGCTTAAGAAATTCAAGAAAATATAAAACAAAATTAGTGATAAATTTTGAAATGTTTTGAATAAAATAAATGATAGCATCTATAATCTTTTTTTTTAATTATTTCTAATGATGTTTGGATCTTGTCTTCTTATAGAGCACCTGATTTTTGTATTCAGAATATTTATAAAATTTCTATTAGAAATGTTTATTTCTATCTTTATGAACATTTATTTTGTGTTGATTGGTATAAGTTGATTTGGTTCAAAGGTTTTCTTTAAAATTTGTTTTGCATTTTTGGAAAATTATTCATGGCAGGCATAAAACTTGTGATATTCTCTCTCTTAAAAGTATTTGTATCAATTTTAACTTTCGTTCTTTATTCTACTGAGCTTGAAACTCATATCCATTTATTTTTTGAATGTCTTGTGTCTCATGTTCTTCTTGAAAAATGTATTTCTCGTGGATGCTTCTTTATTGCTATTCCTAATAGATTTCAGGTTTTATTCATTCTAAACTATATGTTGTAAAATTTGTAAGAGATTTCATCTCTTACTTGTTCAAATTATTGATTAATTATTATATTTTACTGCACTTCGGTTGAGGCTATTAATAATTCAAAATATTCATTGGATGGTTAAGGAGAAAAGCACGAAATGGAACTTCAAAGAGTTTATTCCTTTGGATTTAACAAATTTTAGAAGTAATATTTATTTTTTTGTGTTTGTTATTGTATCAGATTCTTTTTATATTTTTCATCTTTCATCTCTTCTCTTAGGAATTGGTTATTCAAAGAGTCCATTCCTTTGAATTTAAGATTTATCTATATGTTATATTGGTTTTTTTTTTTTTTTTTTTTTTTTTTTTTTGTGTTTGCTTTTATATCAGATTCTTCTGATCTTTCACATCTTTCTAATCATCTCTGGTTTATCTTTTGTTTGGCTTATGTTATGTTGATTTCTAGACTTACATTATCATTTAACTATTTTTTGAATATCTGTATTTTGATATTCACTAATTTTGTTTGGCTTATGTTATGTTGAATGTTGGCTGATGTCTCTTTCAATTTCGTTTTTGCTTCTTCTATTGGTTAGGGCTTGTTTTCTTTTTGGGCTCTCTTCTTGGCTGAGAGCTCATTTTTCTTCGATGGTTTGCTCTTATTGGGGTATTTATGTGATATAATCAGTATTACACTTGTTTCTTTTCCATTTTGGCATTTTTTTTAGCTTTGATGTTATCCAGTCTTTTATTAAATTTCAATCATATGTTTGAATATATATATATATATA